ACTCGGGGCCTTGTGGGACACTGTCTCTTGCTGCCGTGACCGTTTGAATCACATTCCGGAAAATGCAGGAAGCCATTGTCCACACTCCCAGAGTCCCTCATCAACAGAGTGACAGGCCACTCTAGGCACCACAGGAAGAGGGGTAGGTTGTCTCCCATGGTGCCTTGAGTGTGACAGGGGTCATCACTGAAGCACCAGAAAAAGGCCTCTAATGCCTCTTCAGTGGCACAGGACCCTTGTTTTCCTCCTTTTAAAAAAAAAAACAAATAAAGCATACACCACACTTAAGTGCTGATGACTAAAGTAACGAGTAATGGTAGTGCAGCAAAGTCCTCTGAGTACTGCTGTTAACCCTAATGTGTTACAAAGTCCCTAATAAGTTAACTTGGCGAATACCTTTTGCCATGTTTGAAGTTCTAGGAACATTATTTGTTTAGTGCAGAGAAAGCCGTGCTCATTTCTGCACAACTAGAAATGAGGGATGCATTATTCCTGGTTTGGGGGCCTCATTCATTTCTGCATAATCCTCTTGGTGGGGTTAGCGGAAAGGCAGGATAATGCCAAAGGCAAGTGTGTAGGAAACAAAAATGAGTCTGGCCAAAAGGAAAAAGGAAATAAAAGCAAAGCAGTGCATTTTAATTTTTCCTTCTTTCATGCACACTTTTGTGTTCTCTTGTGTATTAAAAAAAGGGACAGCCCCCTTTCTCAGGATGTAGAAAGGAGAACACAGCAAACTCGCCATGCAAAGTGTGTCTCCTCCTGTGGATCAACACCGTAAAGGGGGACAGTTAATAGGGGCATGGCCTGTCTGGAAGGATGGGCAAGCTGGAGATGTCTCAGTGTTGTCTGAGTACAACAAACTTTGGTAGACGAGGCTGGCTCTTGAGTGGCACAGATCCTTATTTTTCAGTTGTTGCTTTTTCTCTTTTTTAAAGAGATGTGATTGTGCATAGAATATCCTATCAGGCACAGGTCTCCGCTTCGTTGTTTTTACTTTTTAAAGAGCAATTTGGGTGTAAAGGTATCTTTGAAAATCTATGGGTAGTGTTTTCTGAAGAAGATGCAGAGAGAATGGGGCTTCTGGGGCTTCAGGGCCTTAAATAACTCTTTGCCCCTCAATATAATTAGGAGAATAGGAGAGATCGTGTGAATTCGCTGAACATATTCAGATTGTCCGATTTTCAGCCTCCCCTAATGCTTCTTCCTGGTTGAACGAAGCATTGTCTCAATGTTTCCTTTTGCTTGCCTGCCTTCTCCAGGAGAACTGCGTCACATTAAGAACTTGAAGCACTGGGGCCTGTACGACGTCTTGGTGGAGAAATACGAGTGGCCCCTTGAGCAAGCCGCCCAGTTCACAGACTTCCTCTTGCCCATGATGGAATTCCTCCCAGACGAGCGGGCGACAGCCGCCCAGTGTTTGGAGCACCCGTGGCTCAACTCCTAACGATGCCAGATGACATCCAGACTGACTGACTGGTTGCCGAAGGAAGGGGACGGTAGCTCACGTGGAATTCCCTGGCGTGGGGGGGACTAGGTCCTGCTAGTGGGGTGGAGGGGGGCAGTTGTTTTTCTCCCCATGTTCCTCTCCCTCACTAGAGGGCTTCTCAGGATGTGATGTTGGGAGGCTGTTCTCTCTCCAGCTAGTTACACTGGAACATGGATGGGAATCATGTTGTGGCTGCTTCTGAAACACTACCAGAGGATAACTGTGAACCCCACACTCCTTGTTTTCCTCCCTAGAGGCTGCCTTCATCGAGTTGTCAGTGGCCACCTTCCCTTCTGCCCTTGACCCCTGCTGTTTGACTCATTTTAATTAGTCCTGGGACTCCTTGCAGAACACACCCACCCCATCCTTGTTCTGAAAAGCAGAAGGGAAATGGCCCCCACCCTTCTCAACCCCAGGGGGCAAGAAAGTGAATGATGCAGAGCTGTTGGAAAGGAAATGTGTTCCGTATGTGTTTGTGTGAACCAGGTAGCGTTGAAATGTGTGGCTCTTCAGGGTTTCCGAGGTAAAGTGCGAGGCGTGTGTGAACGTTTGAGCAAGATGTTGGAAGGAGCAGATGGTACCTTCTTTGGGTGCTCTTCTGGAGGTTGCCCGAGTCTGTTACCCTTCCTTCCCACACACTCTCTCGTCCAAATGTCTATCCCGAGGAAACCTGGCCTTTCTTAAGATTGTGTGGGCGTATGCATTTTATGCAACACGATGTGACCTTGGCATGTATGCTCAGTCATGCAGCTACTGGGAGGGAGAGGCCTGTGGAGGAAGCAGGAGAAATAGTATATAGATAGTGTGGCAGGAGGGATTCCAGTTCCCAAGTGGCTGTCAGCCCCTAGTGCCTCATGTAGCGGGAACAGCAGACAGCGGCTAGGAGGAATTTTACGAGAATTGTGACAAGGAGCAGAGAAAACAGGGCCTGACAGAATGTGGCCATTCCTTCACCCTGTGAGCACTGGTGTGTCCTGTTTCCTGCTGCCATGTAAATAGATATTAGGTTATGCTGCAGTTCCTTGTATGCCTGTTTTACACTAGCCAGGGGCTGAATTACAAGTAACTGCTTGCAATTTGGTATTCTGAGAATCTCAGTTGTTTAAAAAAAAACAAAACCTGTATTTTTTCCTAGCTGTCATTATTATGAAGAAAACATTTTTGTAAAAGAAGGAACTTCTTCATCCCTTGTTTCTAGTTCTGATTTACTTTTCTTTTACAGTATTGCCTCAGTTTCCTTTATCGATCCACTTTTTCCTCAGTTTTTCAGATGGTAGGAGATATAAATTACAGTAAGCCTCATGGGACAGAACTAAGCTGTGGATCTAGGGGCCACTTTTGCCACTCCTCTGGAATCCACCATATGCTGCTTTTCCTACAATTTTATTTTTATTTTTATCAATCAGAAGCTTGTGTTCACTGGGGGGACCCCCACAACCTGTTATTTACTTCCAAGGAGAAATTGCCATAAGGAGCAGTAATTCTCTGTCTGGACTCTTCTTAAAAAGTCCTCAGTAGGTCTGGAATCCAGGGAACCAATGGTTTTGCCCACCTCTGCCCTGGGTATTGGCATAATGGATTCTATACCTTACCCTATATGCAGGTGGAGAGGGAATGTAGCGTGTGAGTTTGTGTGATTACCCTCCGCTTTTTCTCCATCTGGTAGATATGTTTAGGGATGGCTAGAATTGTAGTCACCTTGAATGGCCACTACACCCCTCCTCTTCCATTTATGTTTGACATTTTAATGATCTATAGTAAAGTTTTAATTTTCTTTAAAGCAGGAAAAACAGCTGCTCTGGAAAGCTTGGCTTAGAGGAGTAAACTGTCCAAGCTACTTTGTGCCTTTTGAGGAGTCCCCTGGGCAATGAGTCTTGGGTCTGCAGATGTTGTTGGACTGTAACTCCCAGAATCGTTGACCATCTGCCATACTGTGTATCCTTCTGGGAGTGGAAGCCAAACAGCAGCTAGGGACCACATTTGGCAGCCATTGCTCTATAGTCTCTCCACCCCAAAAAGGAATAAAATTCCAACTCTAACAAAGACAAAGAAGAGTAAGAAAATGCCTGGAGACAAGCTTAAAATCCAGAACCTTCACTTCTATCCCAAAGACACTGGGTTGGACCTAGTTGAATTTTAGCTAAATTGCTTTCCATGGGAACTAAGTCTGTCTCACTCCAAACTGCACTCCAGGGATGCCTGAGCAGTCAGTCATTCCAGCTGTGTGCTCCAGTCTCAGCATGTAAGTGGGCAAGGGGACAAGGTGTTGAAGCATCTTTGGCATGGAACCATCTGGGTGCATTATGACCCAGAGGAGTGTCTTTAAACCAAAGTTGTCGTCAGAGAAGAACAAGGTGGCAAGAGAGTGAGACGGGAGCATTTCCTTGCACTGTAGTTCATCAGGAAGCCATGGCCTTCGTTTGAAGTGTGGCCTGTGTATGCTGTGTTGGGGGAGTGAGTGAGTGAGTGTGTGTGTGTGTATTCTGAACCCTACCCCCATGCTGTTGCAGGGATTGAATTTAAAGACTTTTCATTAAAAATTTGCAATAATTCATGCCGCCTCCTCCTCTCTCAGGGCAAAAGGACCTTTAAGAAAACCTTGGATATCTTAAGAAAGCCCCCCCCCCCAAAAGTGTGTTCCAGGGCAACTCTTTAACTCTTGCAGTGAGAAGGAGTTTAGGAGTTTTCTGCTTCCCCTCCATGAAGTGCTTGCAATTCTTCTGTTTTGTTTTCTTCCCTATTTGCTATGTTCTCACTCTGCTTACTATAATGAACATCTGGAAATCGGAAGGCTGAGAACGTCAGCATCTCATTCAAAAGAAAAGGCTCCGACAGCCGAGGAGCTTAAAAGCAATGGTTCCAGGTCACCTTCAGCCACAGAAGCCGGCTTCGTGCACAGCTTTTCCTTGCTGGATTAGAGGTCAAGATTTTAGCTCTGGGCATGGCGGTGATTTCCTGGCATATTTGAAGGGGGACACAGACTGGAAACAATTCTTCACACACTATTTTATAAGGGTCATTATGCAATTTACATAATCCTAATTCAGCCTGCATTTCTTTCATACTGTGTTTATGGCTGTGGTTTAAAAAAGTTTGAGAATGACTACTCTAGAGGAACAGTTTGTGATGTTGCTGTTTTTTTCTATCACTGTGTGACCACAGCTGAATGACTACAGGTTAGTTTCCTAAAAATTAATCATATCATTGAGTACTTTAGACCATTTTCTTCTAACTCGTTTTAGAGTGTTATGCTAGTACCAGCCAGTTTCCTTCCACACACTAGGAACTCCTGGCTCTTGAACTTGGTTGCTGTTAACATGTAGTCTGTGAGTGCGGGTTTGTCCAGTATAACTCACTAGCTCCTTCCCAAAAAGAAACAGCAGGCTTCCTAATCCAAACCCTGCCCTGATATTAATTCATTTCCCCCCCGTTTTATGCCTGTTGACCTAAAAGCAAAAGAGAGAAGCCACAGACCTCATCTCACATTTACATTTATTTAATCTGGGGAGGAACTGCCCACTTGCATGCTCTGTACAGAGAAGATAGAGAGGCTGTGCTTAATTGAGAATGGAAAGGGCCGCCTCCATGCACAGACATCGGGGCTCTCCTACATCTCCCACGAGGTAGGGGCAGTTGTTTCTTTCACTGGCAGCTGGAGGAGGAAGCTGCATTGCTCCTGTTTCTCAGGCTCCAGGATGTCACTTTAAAAAAAGAAGAGAGTTTTTAAAATAATATTTGTGTACTCCTGGACACATCACAACCTCCGAGTCAGTGGAGAATTATTTTTCTTTCATTTGGCTTAGCAGAAGCAGTGAAAGAAAGAAAAGATGAGAGACAGATCATTTAAGAGCTTGAAGAAGATAACAGACTACATGGAAATGAAAGACAGCAAAGAAGCAACAGCAGCAGCCTCTTTAAGAGGGGTAATGGCTGCAGGGAAGGGAGGGAGTGAGAGTTTTGTCTGTATCTCATGACTCCCTGCCATTCTCTGCATAATTTAGCCTTATAGATTCCTAGAGAATTCCCCTTTTATTAAGGGGAAGCCTGTACTATAGGCTGATGAAGTTTCAAGCTGGTCTCTGCATCAGCTATAGTGCTTTGCAGACTAACCCTTGGTTTTCACACAGAACAAGAAGAAAAAAGCTGCTTAAATCCTGCAGTCTCTCCTTCCTGTCCCATACCCTGCCTCACAACCAGTGCCTAAAGTTAAGAACTGCCAATACAGAGAAGCAGGATGAGACTGACCTTTTAAATAGCACTTCCTATATTCTAGACAGGCTAAGAAAGTTATATAGTACATGCCTTCATGCTAAAGGGGACTCATGGTGTGGTGATACAGTATACATAACTGTTAGGCATTTAGATACAATTTTTAAAAAACCTGAAAGATAAAATAGGATGAGGAGGTCCAAACCTGACTGACCTCTAACCCATCTCACCTGTGTCAGGCTAGGGTTAGCTTTCCCAATCTGTTTCAGGATTGACTGAACAGCTGCTGAGGTGGTGCCCTGGCCCCCAATATCTGGAGTGTGGGTCTGGAAAGAAGAAAAGAAGTTACAAGAAACCAGGCGCAACCACAGTTGCCCATTGAAAGAGTTCATCCTGGTTAAAGGCGAGAAGAGCCTCCAGTTCACTGTATGATGTTGGTCTGTAACTCCCTGCAACCCTAGGCAAGGATAAGGAGGCAATGGGAGCTGAAGCTGAAAATACAATGATTGTCAACGTTTACAGAACTGGGATTCTCCTTATGCCAAAGCAGACAGTTAAGCAGCTACTTCTTGATTTTGTTTCCTCACATAGCTGTAAAGTGGCTGTTGCAACCCACTAAGTCAGACTGTGATTCAATAGTGGGTTCCTACCTGTCAACCACTGTTGTAAACCCCACCAGAAGTATTGACTGTCTCCCTTGCCCCAAAGAACTCCAGTATCCTGGCAAGCAACAGGCCTATCATCAAATTAAGTATCTTGACTGTCACAGCTTCCACAAAGAAAAGTGTAAAACCACCTCAAGTATGTACCGTACATAATTTACCAGTAGCACAGAAATGTTTAGAACACTACAGATACCTTCTGACCTTTATCTGTTGTACCTGCAGTAGTATGTGCTCAACAAGATGCTCTTGGAGAGATTCAAAGAGTGCATTTGCCAATGGCTGCATCCATCAGGATTTTTCTAGGATTTTTTTACAATGTCCATCTTCAAATTATGTCATGCACTGCAATGTCCAATTTTGGATTCGCACCAGAATGAAACATGCACCTGCTCAAGATGTTTCATGGTTGAAAACCTTATGCTCATTTGGAAAACATCGCAGGGAAGAGCACCGAGTGGCTACTAACTGAAATCCTTTATCATATGGTCAAATTTCTTGATTCTCCATCAGACCAGGAGGAGGAAAACAACTTACATCTGGGTCATCCATGGAAGCCAGGACTGCCTTACGAATCACAGAGGCATGGCTGTGCAATCTGTAATGAACAAGAGAACCAAAGGGTGAAAAAGCAGCCCAGAGCCATGTGTGCAGTTCCCACAGTTTATCCTCAAACCAACCCTGCAAGATGTGGTGCACCAATTCTCAGCTGAGGGTCACCCGGCAAATTTTCTGGGTAAGCTGGGATTGGGAGCCAGATCTTCCTACACCTCAACGTGCTACACCATGATGGCTCTCCCTTTTATTAAACCAGGGTAGCTGGGTCCGAGGGGGTAGTATTAAGCTGTAGCTTCCATTAAGGGAGGAGAAAGAGCCCAGGCACATACTTGAGATGGTCCAACATCATACAACCGGCAAGCAGCATGGCTGTGGGGTTGGCAATGTTCTTGCCGGCAATGCTCTTGCCCGTATTGCGTGTGGCCTGAAAAAGAGGGAAAGATCGACTGTAACAATTACAGTATATGACCAGTAGAGTAAAGCTTGAATTGGTCTCCACCCCGCACGCATCCACCATCTCTCCCCCTTATCCTGCATTTTGTCCAAGTATTGTTCAGTTTGAGAGCTCTTAGGCTCTGTCATAGCTAGAACTCTCAGCCGGTGCCTCAGGAATCCTTCCTCCAGTTGAGTGGCTCCTTTTGGGCAAAATGTCCAGATGTCACTGGACTACAACTCCCAGGATTCTTCACCACCAGCTAGGGCTGGTGGCAACAGCAGCCCAGAAACATCTCAAGGACTACATTTTGCCCACCCCTGACTTGCAGGGTCTCATTGAGGAGAGGGAGTGACCTGATCCAACACGCAGCCAGCTGCACCCATGAGAGCAGGAAAAACCACCATCATGCCCTCTTCAGCCACTCGGGTATTGCAAGAAATAATTTGGAGCACTTGGATTTGTTTGTTTTTTTAATGCATATTTGCTTCCTGTGTCATAAATCCCAATTAGCTGTCAATTTTCCCCCTTGGTTCTCCCCACACAATCATGTTAATATGCAAGTTTTTTTTACAGCAAGGCCCCATCTGCTTTCCTTTTCAAACCTGAGAATGCAAAATCCTTGTTCTGCGATAGTATAGTATAAATGATTATCAGTAGCTCTTCACGCTGGGCAGCAAAAAAGTGGCATCCACAAACTAGTCCCTGTGAGACCTAAAAATCAAACCACATCACTATAGGGTACTACATGTCCCAGCTTCAAAATAATGTCCCTCTATCACACTGCTGGCCTCTGGCCCAAGTCAAACATGGCTGGTTTCAAATAGAGATGGGCATGAATCAGAAATATGGGGATTCATTTTGATATGTGATTTCAAGGTCAATGAATTACGAATTTACAATTTTTTTCTGATGAACTGGCAAATCGATTTGTCAATTTTTTAAAACTTAAAAACCCTATAAAACGGCCTCTCAAGGAACAAGAGACACCAAAAATCACCAAGAAGCTTCTATTGACTGTCCTCTACAAGCCTTGCAATTTTGGTGATGTATGGGTTTCACACATCTGAGTTATATACCCACAAGTAGACCCTGGAAGGTGCCCCCCCATCACCTAGAGACAACAAAATGACAGATAAGTTCTTACTGACTTTCTTCTACAATCCTTCCAACTTTGGTGAAGATTGGGTTTCAGACATCCAAATTATATATCCACAAAGTGGGTTCCCCCCACCAGAAAGTGCCCTTTAGCAGCTGGCTTGGAAAAACCCAATCTTCACCAAACTTGGAGGAGTTGTAGAGGACAGTTAGAGGAAGCATCCCTGCATTGGTGGTGTCTCTGGGTGCCTGAGGGGGGGCTGTTTTACAGCCAAACGAACTGACAAATAAAAACTTCACTAAAATTCAATGAGTCATATTCATCCTGATTTGTACCAATGCGAATCAACAAATTAGCAATTTTTAAAATGAATTTCATGACTCATTTTTAAATCTGGGCTCATCTCTAGCTTCAAACTGTGATAGAAATGGAATTCTGGGTGACTTTCACCCTGGTTCCCATTGATGACAGTGCCCCTCTTAGGCACAGTGAAGGCGAATGGATAAAGTTTGGTTATAAAAGGGAAGATAGGTAATCCTGCGGTCTTCTCCTTATCTGTTTATGCCAGCAAATAAAATAACTGTCTGACATCA